GAAATAAAAATAGATTATAAAAAATAACAAATAAAATAGAATACACATATATATATATATATATATATATATATATATATATATATATATATATTTAATCATCGATAAATATATATGTACAATTTTAATTATCATGTATATATGATACGATTGTCATTGATATTTTAAAGAAACTTACAAACTTAATGATTAAATGTTGTTGCTAGAACTTAGAAGTAAGGGTTAACAATTAATTAAACACTTTAATATTTTTTTTTTTTACTTTCACATATCATATCATTATATCTTGTTATTAACACGTTAATGCTTGTGTCTTTTCCAGATCAATATGATATTATAGTGTCAATTTTACTTGTTAATGTCACATTATCTTGTGTGAGTTATCATTATAATATCTTATTTTTACTACTTAAAAAAATTATATATGTTAGCAGTTAAGCATAGGGTTTGTCTCCAATGTTTTGGTCTTTATTTTACAAAATATAAACTATTAATATAAATATATTAAAAATTTACATGAATAATATGATGATGCAAAACAAACTATGTAATCGATTATAGTCAATGGCAATTATGCAGTTGCATACTTACAGTAACAAGTAATTGATTATTACCTAATAAAATAATCGATTATTATGTGAGAATTTGACATTTTGAAGGGGCATTTGAAACTCTATATAAAGATACTGTATATTTCATATTCTTTGACGCACTTTTTCTATCATTTGAGAGTGTTTTATGAAATTTTGAGTCAAAGATACTATTCATCATTGTGAGATTCTTGAACTTATATACATCCAGGAGTAGGTACCAAGGAAGAGTCTCCGTAATTTTTGCTTTTGCATGTATTATAATTTTTATGTTGCAAAGTACTTGTGATAAAAAGTGTAAGAAAGCTAATAACCTAAGGAGATGAAGTATTTTTATCCAAAATTAATTTCTTGTTAGATAAAAATTACATTTTCTTTAAAAACATTAAAAAAAAATGAATGACTTTCTTTTTATAGTAAACTATAACGCTATTTTTAAGGAATTTTGTTAATTTTTTATTTATTTGAGCTATTAATAATTGATGTAATTTTATTTTTATTAAAGTGGATTGAATGTTATTTGACATATATTTTTCCTCTAAGTCCATTATGTTAAAGGATAGTCTAGAAGTTATCAATGTAAATATATAGACTAAGTATAATAGACAAGTGTGTTAAATTTTTAAAATAGAATCTAATTTAATATTTGTTATCAAAGAATATTAAGTTGCACTTTCACAATTCGAAAAGACAACATTTCACTAGACTTTTTGATCCAAAAGGTAGTAGTAATAGAGAAAAGTTTTGATAAAAAAATTGTTTACACAAGTGAATGCGTGATCAAATTGTGATAACAAATTCACTACAAAAATGTTTATAAAAAATAAGTAATTTATAACAATTAATAAATAGTAATGTGATATTATAAATTCTAGTATTGATATGGTATAGAATTCCAATATTATTTTCGATATGTGGTTTCAATTATTACTTTTTTAAATAAAAACTAAAGGCATATGTGGACATTAGATTAACTTTAACTTGATTACATACACAAATGTGTTTTTAACACGAGGGTTGTGCCAAGTTTGGTAAAAGGATTAGGACTTGTTGCTAATGTGCCAAAAGGAAAGACTTGAAAAAATGACGTCTTGAGCAAAAATAAAAGGAGAAAAGGGAAGGGGCAGAGTGATTTCTCCCTCAGCTCCAAGCACTCAACAATATTCTAACATAATATGATATATAATGAGGGCAATTAATGCATACCTCGTCAACAATGTGATGTAATATGCTACTATTATAATAGTTAAAGGAAGGAGAATTAAACTAAGAAAACTATAAGGATAAAAATGTGGCTGAAACATAAGCTTAACTATTTTATGAATAGGAAGGAGAAAAATGTAGTGTAAGTGTTGGTCTAGGGGTAACAGTGTTCGGATTTAGTGTAAATTAAAGGTCGAATTAACCAATTAGTTTGAATTGAATTTATAAAAAAAAAATTGTGATCTAACGGAATCAAAATAATTAATAATGGATTGATTTGATTTGAATTAATTAATTTTCTTAATTTTTAGATATTTATTTTTTTAAAATATAAAAAATACATTTTTTTTATCTTAATATTTAAATAAAAATTAATTATTAAAATAATGTAAGTTTATGTATAAATAAAAAATTAATGTCAAAAATATGAAATTAAAGTAGTTAAACATAATTTAAAAATTTAAAAATTTAAGTAT